GGTCTTGAACCTGCGGGCTCAGGCAATCCACTCACCTCAGCCTCCCAAAGCGCCGGATTACAGGCTGAGCCACCGAGCCTGGCTAGGAAGTTCACTTCTATTTCTACTGTGTTGACTGTGTTTATTACGAAAAGGTTTAAGTCATTCTTTAAAAAATTTTTTTTACTTTAAAGATGTGGGATACAATTTAGATTTAGGTATACAAGTGGTCGTTGTATTGGTAAAGTTTGGGCCTCCCTTTGGTCCCCACTTTACTTGGTTTGAGATCAGGTACCCTTATTGATGTTATGTCCACCCCCACTCCTGGCAGTTTCCGGCTACTGCCAGTCCCTTTCTTATAGTATTATGGTAAATGCTCAGGGTCCACTTATGAGTGAGAACATGTGGTACTCAGTTCTTTGTTTCTGTGACAGATCACTGAATATGATAGACTCTAAATCCATCCATGTTGCTGTGAAGTCCATAATTTTGTCCTTTATGGCTACATAATATTCCATCGTGTATATGTACCACATTTTTTTAATCCAGTCAACTTTCAATGGGTGACACAGTTGGTCCATGTTTTTGGTATTGTGAATAGTGCTTCAATAAACATGCATGTGCAGGTATCATTTTCATAAAGTGATTTAAGTTCCTCCAGGTATATTCCCAGAAGGAGGATTGCTGGGTTGTGTGGAAGGTCAATTTCTAGTTCTTTTAGGAATTGCCACACTGTTTTCCACAGAGGTTATACTAGTTTACACTCTCACCAGCAGTGTAAAAGTGTTTTCTTTACTTTGCATCCTCGCCAGCGTCTGTTGTTTTTTGTTTTATTAATGATGGCCATTCTTACTGGGGTTAGGTGGTTTTGATTTGCATTTCTCTGATGATTAGTGAGGTTGAAAATTTTTTTGTGTGCCTTTTGGCTGTTCATATGTCTTCTTTTGAGAAGTGTCTATTCATGTCGTTTGCCCACTTTTTAATGGTGCTGCTTGTTTTAAGACATTCTTTTATTTTTTAATTTTTTTTTATTTTAAAGATGTGGGGTAAAATTCAGGGTTAGGTATACAAATGTTCATTATGCAGGTACCTTTGTTGATGAGGTGTGCCCCTCCCTCCCCTGGCAATTTTCCTCAACTGCCAATCCCATTCCCTCCCCTGGCAGTTTCCCACTACTGCCAATCCCTTTCTTATAGTATTATGATAGTTGTTCAAGGTCCGCTTATGAGTGAGAACATATGGCACTCTGTTCTTTGTTTCTGTGATAGATCTCTGAATACGATAAACTTTAAATCCATCCAAGTTGCTGCAAAGTCCATATGATTGTCCTTCTTTATAGTTGCATGATATTCCATTATGTATATGTACCATTTTTTTTTTAATCCAGTCTGGCTTCGATGGGCAGCATGGTTGGTTCCATGTTTTTGCTCTTGTGAATAGAGCTGCAACAAACATGCGTGGGCAGGTATCTTTTTTGTAGAATGGTTTGAGTTCCTCTGGATATATTCCCAATGGGGGATTGCTGAGTCATATGGAAGGTCAATTTCTAGTTCTTTCAAAAATCACCACACTGTCTTCCAAAGAGGCTGCATTTGTTTGCATTTCCACCAGCAGTGTAGGAGTGTTCCTTTTTCTCCACATCCTTGCCAGCATCTGTTGTTGTTTGTTTTATTAATGATGGCCATTCTTACTGGGATTATGGAGAAAATAATGAAATTTTACTTTAAGGACAAAGTGAAGGGCCTAAATTAATAGATGGGTATATACCATATATAGAAAAACTGAATGTAATCACGGTGGCAATTCTCAAAGTACTGCACCTCAAGAATACATCAAATTCCCAAGAAGATTTTCACAGAGCCTGACAAGTTTGTCCTAAAATTCATATAGAAGTAGGTGGAGGCTTAGAATTATTAAGAGAATTTCTGAAGACTAATAATAAAGAGAGGGGCTTGCCTAGCTAGACATCAAGACTTATCTTAATATTATCATGTTTAAAATACTATGTAATATTTATTGCTTATTTATAATCAGTTAGACATTATACCAATCCTTTACAAATGTTAAGTTATAAAAATTTTATGGGTAATCTTATTTTCCTCACTTCTCCATCTTATAGATGAAGAAGAAATTTCCTGAGGCACAGGAAATTTAAGTAATTTGCTTATGATCATTTGTCTAGTAACTTATGGAAGTAGGACATGAATCCAATTACCTAAGTTCTTAACCTTCATGCTATACCTCCTCGTGTTGTGGTAAAATTAACCAGTGGAAATATTTTTCAAAAAAATGTGTGTGTGTGTTTGTGTATGTGTATGGGACTTGGCATAATAAATTATCAGACTGAATATCTTTAAAATGGCTTCTAAATCTTGAATTCGTAATGAAAAAGAAATCTCTTCCAAAAAATGTTTAGTATTTTCTGCTGCTTGGAGCCACAGCCCTTGAAGACCGTCTTCAAGCACGTTTTCCAGAAACTATAAAACTTTACTGAAAGCAGACATAAGAATATGGGTCTTGACAGGAGACAAACAAGAAACGGCAATTAACATAGGTAATAGATGCAGAGATAATCGATTTAAGACATAAGTATTAAACATTTAAAATCTTCTTGTATGTAGTATTCTGTGTCCCAGTATTAAGAATGCATGACTGAGCCCCTTTTGAATTGTTTTTTAGCCTTTGGACAAACGGTATGCGGTAGAACCTTGCAGCACGTGGCACAGGATCTGAACAAGCTGAGCAAAGCAAACTTTTCTGTCTCCTTCACATTCTTGAAATACAGAATGCAAAATGATGACATGAGTAATATATTAGTTTCTTGTTTCTTTCCTCCAGAACTCAACGTTATCTCATGACATATATTTGCCCAACAATGTATAGTATATATTTTTTTTTAATTTCACTATTTGTATCTTAGGGTTGATAGGTGCAGAGTTGAAAATACCTATCTTTGCATCATTTATGTGTATTCATAAATATTTGATTATTAGTGAGAATCTCCAGTTGGTATTTTTCCCCCTCTGATTGCCAATGTTACTTCTTCCTCCTTTATAGTATTTTTTTTTTAACTTTACCATTTGGTTGTATCTTAGGGTTGATAGGTGCAGAAAAGGAGTTGAAAATCAACTGTCATTCTGGGGGTTTCCCACTTTATATTTTCTGATTTTTTTTGTAATGAGTATATTTTACTTTTCTAATAAGAAAAAAACAACTTGGCAAAAAAAGAAAAGAAAATCAACTGTTAGCAGTGAATATGCAAATTTTGATGCAGAAAGGAGTTGCAACTACTGTTCTTTCCATGATCATCATGATAACCAGCTTTGGTTAGCTGGATTTGCATGACTGTGTATTCAAAGGGTGGATTTGCATGACTGTGCATGACTGTGTATTCAAAGGGTGCAGGCACCCTTTGAATGTTGCCTCCATGGATCTGTTAATGTTCAGACATTTGATGAACATTGAGTCCTTGCTATGTGCCAGGAAATCCTAGGAGCTGGGAATGAAAAGTTGAGTAAGAAAGTCTCTGCCTTCATGGGACTTACACCCAAGGGGGGACAACAGGATATTAAAAAGCAGATCAATGCATGTTGTGACGTTACTGTGATCAGTGCTAAGATTAAAAACAAAGCAAGGCATAAAGAGGTAGAGGGGATCATTTTAATTTTTAATTTTTATTTTTTAAATGAGAAAGCATGACTTATTGAGAGTACAGAAAAGCTCCCACAGCGCGAGGGGGTTGCCAATCTAGGGCCAAAAGCCTGGTGCTTATATAGCCCTAAGTTCAAGCCAATTGGCTAGCACTAACTGTGAGCTGTAGCTGTTCTGATTGGTCAGTATTAAGAACCAATTGACAGGAGGTAGGGCCCTAGTGGTGAGCCGATTGGCTGCTTTTTGATCCCAGCAGTTGAGTACCTAAGCTCTATCTTGAGAGGTTTGCAGGGTGCTTGTTTACCAATGCTGAGCCTGAGAGGCCTGCTGGGAGTTCACTACATTGTTATTAGGGGACCCACCTGCCTAGCCTTTGTCTAGTTATCTCCTGTTTTATTCCCCTCTCTGAGTAGTAACCCTAACTGCCAATAGGGAGGAAGGACAGGGGATCATTTTAGAAAGAAGCCCTGTCAAGGAGTGGACATCTGAGGCAGAGATCTACATTAAAAGAGAGAGTAAGCACTGAAGAGAAGAAAGAGCATTCCAGGCAAAGAGAAGAGCAGACCCCAGGGCTCTGGGGTCAGGAGAAACCTGTCATGTTTGAGGAGGAGCCTCCAAAAGGCCAATGTGGCTAGAGCCAGGGCCAAAGCAAGGAAAAGGCAGGCCACAGTGAAGAATGTGTGGGTTCTGAGTAGGAGAGTGATATGGTCTGATTTATGCTTTATAAATACCTGTGTGGGCTGGGCGTGGTGGCTCACACCTGTAATTTGAGTTCTTTGGGAAGCCAAGGCAGGAGGATCACTTGAGCCCAGGCCTGAGACCAGCCTGGGCAATGTAGTAAGATCTTGTCTCTGTGAAGTTACTATAGTATTCCACATAGAAATCTGTGTGGAAACTAGACTAAGTGGAAGTAGGGAGACCAGTTAGGGAGCCTCTGTAGAAGCCTAGACAAGAAGTGGTGGCGACTTGTTCTAGCATGTGAAAGAGGAACTGACTTGGGGAGACATTTGGCAGGTAGAACTGTCAGCACTCATTGATGTGGGTTCTGTGAGTCTAGGTGACTCTTTCAAAGAGCTTTGCTATAAAGGAGAACAGAGAAATGGGTGGCAGCTGGAAGAGAACACAGGGTCAATGAAAGGTTGGAGTGTTTTTGTCCTTAATTTTAGATCCAGGGGATGCACATATATATTTGTTCCCTGGACATATTGTGTAATGGTGGGGATTGGGTCTCAGTTGGCCCATTCCCCAGATAGTGAATATTGTGCATATAGTGAACATAGTTTCTGAACCCTAGCCCCCACCCCCCTCCCTTCTTATCGGTGTCCCCAGTGTCTATTATTTCCATCCTTGTGACCGTCTAGCTCCCAGATATGAGTGAAAATATGCGATCTTTGCTTTTCTGTCTCTGAGTCTGGGACTGGTTTTTTTGAAGGCATTACCTAACCTCCCTAAATGCCAGTCTTTTCACCTGGAGTGCAGGATAATAACTTTTGCCTCGCAGGGCTGTTGTGAGGATGGCTTGAGGTCGGTCCAGTGAAGAGTCTCTGCTAGTGTCCAGTGCTTATTTGGCAAGTTCTCCATGAATATTGGGCTTAGCATAATCACTAAGGATTCATACAAGGCGTCATTCATCTGACACATATTTGGGAGCATACCATGGCTATATTCTCATTTTCCCACCTTTCTCATATTGCTGGTTTGATGTGACTTGCTATGTTTCTTGATAACCTTGAACTCAGTGACCATGGTGACTGTGTGTTTCCATGAAGAGACTCCGCTGACATGGCCACCTAGTGAAAGAGCGTGATATCTCCCTCTTCACCTTCCCAAATCACACCCCCTCATCCTGGCCAGGCCCACTGCCAGAAGTTCATCTCTTTTTTTGAGACTTTGATTATCTCATCAGCTCAGGACTGAACCCCAACCTAGATGAGACGCAGCAGATGTTGTTAGTAGGTCAATATTTCTTTTTACTGAATGAGAATTATTTTTGTTACTGGAAGTCTACAATTTCCTTGAATGGCTCTTAGCTCAGAGTAACTGTGTTCTTAGATCATTGCTATATTGAATCGCATCCATTAAAAAAAAATTTAGTAACCGTGGTAGATTTGGAAGAAGACAGAAAATGACTCTCTGATGTTCTAGAGTCGAGCTGGCAGACTCAAACAGCTGGAAGAACTGGGTAGGACAGAAGCAGAGGACAGCACACATAGAGGGGGCTGTCCGTGGGGAGAGTACTGTGTCATCCTCCTGAAAGGGGCAGCCAGTGTAACCTCACCTTGGGGAAATCAGTGTCTACTGTGGACACAGTTTCTTCATTTTTAGAAAATAATTGGGAATTCTGTCTTTTGACATGAAATATCCAGACTTATAAATGTTGGCCCCAAATGTACAAAACATTTTAAGGGCAGAGCAAAACACATCTGTGGCTGAAGGCAGCCTGCAGCCTCCCACCCACCTGAGTGCTGGGTCCAAAATGATATTTTATTGTTTTCTTAGAGCGTCCTCATCGAAAAGAGATTAGCTGAAGAGTTGAGTCAGAGAGCATTGCCTGGCACAGACTGAAGACAGTGCTGACCTAATTTGTTTTCTTACAGGCTTTCTGAGCTCTTGTTCCCCCCCCCCAGAAAACCAGTGACCTTCAATCAGAGAGCTCTTGCGTTCCTTGTGTGGGCTTAGATGACTGGGGGACAGATTTTTTCTTTAAATGAGCTGAGGGCCAACACCTCTGCATCTTTCGAGGAGACATGGAGAGCCTGGTGGTAGAAATCACAGGTTCTGGAGTTGGAAGGATCAGGGTTCAGGCTGAATTGTAGGCTCTGGATTTATGAGCTTGTGCCTTGTGGATTTTTCTAAAACTCAGCATTCTTATTTATAACGTGGAGATCGTCATAACAGCTTGGGTGGTTGCACTGATTAAATGAGATGGTATGTACAAAGTTCTTTCTAAAGCAGGGGAGCATTGTGCAGACGTTGTAAGGGCTCACAGCTGCTTTTATGAATATAATGGCAGTCTCAATTGTCATCACCTCTCACAGAGCCCAAGGTGTCTGTCATGATGCAGTCAGAAGCCTAAACGTAGTCTTGATATTAATGACATATGAAATGGCTAAGGACTAGGCAGGAGATTTGCTTTGAGGGACTTATAAGCAAGGATCCGTCTCTGTTGATGGCCATGATGGAAACAAGGGCTGTTGTCACATCTGTGTTGAATGTCTTCAGAGATCCATACCTAGTTCTGGTACCTCCTTAGAGCATGATTCCACACTGACCTTGAGGCTTCCTGGCCTCAGACGTCCTTATAGTGTGACATTTTGTTTTCCAGTTCTCTTCTTTGTTAGCTTTGTAAACTTAAATTTTAAGAGGCTTAGCATATATCTATTGTAAATCTTTCTTGGCACCCAGTAGAATGCTGGGTATGAGTAAGCACCCAATACTTCATACTGATTTTAATTTTTGTCATGACATCTGATAGTTTATATGCTTTACATCATGATATAGGAAGTCTAGCCAGGTACAGCCAACAGTGGCAGGGATGGCTTCAGAGAGAGAAAGGACTCCTTGTGGGGGCAACACGACGACCCACTGGCTTGCTTCTCTATCCCCAGAGCTCGTCCTGAGACACCTGTACAAATATTCACTCTCCAACTCTCCGGGACTGGAATGAGATCTGCCAATATTGGGGCAGTGACCTTTGTCAGCAACATATTACAAAAGAAACGTGTATACATGGTATCGCAATATTCTTTGAATAATACACCCTCACATTTTTAAAATCTGCAGCACTGGAGACATCCACAGACTCTGAAACAGAATTAAGTTTAAAGAGCATCTCATTTGATGGAAAAGAACCCAGCTTACACAGTAAGTTTCAAATGAACCAATAATTAATGAAGAAGAAAAATTTTAAAATGATTTTCTCTTTGTAACTGAACAGACTATGATGGAATACATAAACAGGCATTTTGAACTATATACAAATCATGAGGCCAGTTTTGGTTTCATGGCACCCACAAGTTTTAGGAAATTTCAAGAAAGTATTAAAATGATGTTGTGTAGATTTACATTTAAAATTTAAGTCCAACTTACTAAAATTTGTTTGTGTGAAGAGTTAAATCATTTTAGAAAAATTATTTAGGTAGACTCTTCAATTATGTGTCTATAAAATTTTATTTTTCAATATATTTTATCAGAAATGTTCACAGTGGTCTTATGGCTTACAAAGTACTCTTAATAGCTCCAGTAATAGTTATATCTGCAGAAATATCCTTCTCAAAGTTAAAAGATCCTTCTCAATGTTAAAAGTTAAAAATGATCTTGCATTTGCCACAAGTGACTGAACTTGCTTTCATTATATTGATTGAAAATGAAGTTGCTAAAACTATTCATTTTGATGATCTAATAAATGAAGTTTCAGAAAAGCCAGGACAATCTTATGATTCATTGAGATATCATATTAATAAAAAGTAATATTCTTGGCATTACATAAAATTATGATATCCAAAATATCAACTTGTTTACAATTTGTAAATTTATGTTGTTATTTGTGTATTTGTTGTGTTTTATAAGTAAAAAATATTTTAAAAATTTTTGATACTGCCCTGACATAAGGACAAGTAAAAAATATTTTCAATGAGAAACTTTATGTTTCGGTATTTCTAATGGCATTTGCACGCCCCCATCCAGACTTTTGAACAAGGGGGAGGGTGGGGAAGACATATTGGGAATTTGTGGAGAGATACAAAAGATGAGATAATAGTTCAGAGAGTGGAAGGGTTAGTGGGCCAGCAGCCAGCCGCAGAATTAAACACACACACACACACACACACACACACACACACACACACACATACACACACACACACACACACACACACACACATACACACACACACACATGCACGCATGCACGCATGCACATGGACACGCACACACACCATCTCCTTAAGAAAACCATTACTTCTCAGAGACAAAGACTGAACCTGTTAGGAAGGAAGGAAAATACTACCCTACCTTGCTCGACATGAGCAGGACTCCCTTCTTCCAACCAAATCACGGCTTCCCATTATTTCACAGCAGGTAAGTTCCTTCATTTATCCTACAGTGTCCAAGTCCTGCCTCTTTGAGTCTTTGGGAGGAAGAGAAAGTGACCTATCCTCAGCTTCTGAAAGACTTGTTCCTTTCACTCAACAATGCCTGCTTATGTAAAAACTGGGTTACACCATGAGGCAAGGGCTCATCTCTTTCAGAGGATAACTTCATTCTTCTAGTTACATACAGAATTTTGTATTGAGGCCTGTCAAAGACTGTCTCTTTGGCTTAACTTGAGCCAGATTCCTCCGAGCCCTGGTGTTGACCTCATAGGCCTCGTCCTTGACCCTGGCTTGTCTTTGGTCTGCGGTGCCAAGTTTTAGCAAGAATTCCACTAAGTCGGTTTAGCCAGAGTCCCCTGACCCTTGATATCTGATCTCTCTGAGCTGAGAGGATTGCCTGAGCTCAGGGGTTCGAGACCAGCCTGGGCAACTTGGTGAGACCTTGTCTCTACAATAAATCAAAAAAAAAAAAAATTAAGCTAGGTGTGGTAGAGCACACCAGTAGTTCCAGCTATTTGGAAGGTTGAGGCAGAAGGATCATCTGAGCCTTGCAGGTTGAGGTTGTGGTGGCTGTGAGCATGCTACTGCACTCTAGCCTGCACTTTAGCCTGACAGAGTGAGACTCCAACCCAAAATAATAATAATAATAATAATAATAATAAAATAAGATATCTGATCCCTCTGGGTGCCTGATCAATGTTCTCATCCCCCACATTTGACATTTAAGACCTTGGCCTGCCTTCAGCGAGAATCCTGGCAGGTCAGTCTTTGTTAATAGCAGCAATCCCTCACCCTTGATGTCTCCTCTTAGTAAATTTTCACTCATTGACCCCCTCACTCTGCTCCTCAACTGTAAATCTCCATTTGTTCTTGGTGCGTTCAGAGTTCACCTGATCTTTGCCTCCATGTCAATAGTACTGAATAAAGTCTTCCTTACTGTTTAATAAGTATCAGAATCATTTTTTCTTTAATAATCCCTTTAGACAAATTCTGTTTTTTTAAATTTAATTTTTAAAATGAGAATAACTTGAAACTTTCAAGTTGCAAAACAATTTTTGAGATCTATAATTTTATAGTCATATTGAATATTATGTGAATTGCATATGTTTATTTCTTTTTAAATTTTTTATTTTAAAGATGTGGGATATAATTCAGAGTTAGGTATACAAATGTTCATTATGCAGGTAACTTTGTTGATGAGATGACGCCCACTCTGGGAAAATTTCCACTACTGCCAATCCCGTCCCATTTATTTCTTTTAATCATACCTAGCATTTTATCAGTACACTAGGTATAGTTACTGCTGATATAGTAGCTTGATACAGCACACTCTAAGTTGCTCAAAAGTCTGGCATCATTATTAATATAAAGCATGAGTCTAAGCTCATGTCACAGCGAGATAAAAATTAAAATCCACAGAAGTTAAAAAGTACAGATTTAGTCATTAGTAATATGCGCCTTCCCACCCATTTCTATTTAAGTTGCCTACTAAGTTTAAAATGAACCAACATTTTAATTCCTTTTCCCTCTGCAGTCTCTTGCTCAGTTTTTGTTGACAGGCTACTAGGCTTTGAAATAGTCACAAGGCAGAGAGTACAATGAAGGAAGAATACAAACAGATCTTTTTAAAAAAATTCTCATGGGAGACATTGAGCCTTTAGATATGATATCTTTACTTTTGCTCTCTCTAGCATATTTCTGCAAACTGATATCAGGTCAAATGCCTCGTATTCACTTGAAGACAAATTCATTTGAGGTAAGTGATTTTTAAAAAATTATATTTAAGCAGGGTGCAGTGGCGCATACCTGTAGCCCCCAGCTACTTGGGAGACTGGGGCAGGAGGATTACTTGAGGCCAGGAGTTTGAGACCAGCCTGGGCAACATAGTGAGGTGCCATCTCTACAAAAAATTTTTAAAAATCAGCCAGGCATGCACCTGTTAGTCCAAGCTCCCCAGGAAGCTGAGGATGGGGGCTTGCATGAGCCCAAAAGTTCTAGGCTGCAGTGAGCCATCATCACGTCACTGCATGCCAGCCTGAATGACAGAGAGGGAGACCCTATCTTTAAAAAAAAAATTAAATAAGTACAATTTATGTCTAATATGAGCACAACTCACTTGTTACTTGGGGATGATCCAGCTCCTTAGACCCTGCATAAGATTGCATTGAATTCCCACTCACATCCTCTGGAAAGTTCAATATTTTTTCCCAAGAATCTGCACAGTCGACCTGCCTCCTGCCCCAGGTCACCTCTGCTTCTGTAGCTTCCTGTCTCTGTTGAGTGACCATGCACCTCTGTCTGAGGAGAGTCCTTTGTCACCACTGTGGTATCCAAACAAATCCAGGACTCAGATCCCTGATTAAAAAAAGAAGAACAAATCTTGTGTATGCAGCAATCTTTATCAAAAGTTTGGGTATGTAGATGGCATTTGTATTATAAGAATAAAAAGGATTTGGAATCAATCGTTGCACATCTTTGCCCTTAATTAAAAGTTGAATGACTGCAGTCAGTTATTTTTGATTACATTTTTAATTATATAATTTTCTAGACTCACTATTTATTTATTTATTTAGTCAGGATCTCACTCTGTTGCCCAGACTGGAGTGTAGTGGTACAATCACGGTTCACTGCAGCCTCGACCTCCTGGGTTCAGGTGATCCTTCCACCTCAACCACCCAAGTAGCTGAGAATACCAGATGTGCACCACCACACCCGGCTAAGTTTTCTACTTTTTTTTTTTTTGTAGAGATGAGGTCTTACTGTGCTTTCCAGGCTGGTCTTGAACTCCTGGGGTCAAACAATCCTCCCACCTCGGCCTCCCAAAATGCTGGAATCATAAGCATGAGCCACAGTGCCTGACCTAGACTCACTTTTAAAGAAATTTAGATGGACTTCATTTATTCTTTCTGTGACATCTTCCTTTTTAAAAAAATGTAACTCTGAGTTTCTGACATAATTTTTCTTCTTCTTAAAACAACTTTTAAAACTATTTCTTATGGGGCAGGTCTGCTGGCAATGTATTTCCTGTTTTTGTTTGTCTGAGAAAGTCTTTATTTCTCCACATTTGAAGGATGATTTCACTGGATATAGAATTCTAGGTTGGTGTCTCTTGTTCATTTAACACTTTAAAGATATTTTACCCCACTCTCTTTTTCATTGCATAGTTGCTGTTGAGAAGTCTGCTGTTTTTCTTATCTTTGTTTCTCTATAGATTAGGTATTTCTCCCTTCTGCTTTCTTTCAAGATTTCCTTTTGTCTGGTTCTCTGCAGTTTGATGTCTTGGTTTAGGTTTTTTGGTATTAATCTGGGCATATTGAGTCTGTGGTTTTGTGTTTGCCATTGATTTTGTAAAATTCTCAGCCATTGGTACTTAAATTCTTCCTTCTGTTTTCTCTTCTCTTTCTATTATTCCAACTACATACCTGTGTATCATCTTTTAACATTTGTCCCACAGTTCTTGGATATTCTGGGTGTTTTTTTTTCTAATCATTTTTTCTTCTTGATATTACCATTTGAGAAGTTCTTATTGATGTGTCTTCAAGTTCACAAATTCTTGCCTCAGCTAGGTTGGGAGTTGGAGCTGAAAGCCCCAACTCTCTAACCATGTCTTGGTTTTTCCAGCAGCCAGTCCCATCCTGAAGCTACCTTGGGGCTTCCAGCCACCAGTCATCTCATGAACATACAACAGACACTCTTACCTTATCACTCTAGAGATTTCAAGGATCTTAGGAGCCAGGTGTCAGGAATTATGAACATATATTTCACAAGATCATATGAGGGATATATAGATTTTTATATTTTATGATGTCTTTTTCTGATTTGGGAATGAAGGTAATGCTGGCCTCATACAATCAGCTGGGAAAATGTTCTCTCATTTTTTCAGGAAATGTGTATAAGATTGGTATATTTTTCTTCCTCAATTATTTGTTAGAATTCATCAGTGAAACCATCTGGATTTGGAGTTTTCTTTGTGAGGTTTTTAACTGTGAATTTAATTCCTTTGATACATATGAGTTTTCAAAAATATATTTCTTCTTGAGTCAACTTTGGTAGCTGTGCCTTTCATTCAATAAATTTGTTCACTTCATCTGAATTGTTGAATTTCGCACCATACATTTATTCAAAATATAGTTTGCTATCCTTTTATTGTTTATAGGTTCTACTGTGATCACTCCCCTGAATTCTTGTTACTGACAATCTGTAGTATCTCTTTTTTCTGGATCAGTATAGCTATGGGTTTATTATTTTTGTTCTTCTTTCCAAAGAGCCATTATCATGTGACATGCAGTCTTTTGTTACTGGCTTCTTTCATTACTATAATAAACCATAATTGTTCAACGTGTTCTAGCATGCATTGGTACTTCGTTCCTTTTTATGACTACAGAGTATTCTGTTGTATGAATATACTGTGTTTTATTTATCCATTCATCATGTTTCTACTTTTGGGCATTAGTGCACATAAATATCAGTGTACAAGCATTTTCATTTCTTGGGCACATACCAAGGAACAGTATTGCTATATCATATGCTAACTCTATATTTAGCCCTTTGAGGAACTGCCAGACTGTCTTTCACAGTGGTTGCACCATTCTGCATTTCTACTAGTAGTATATGAGAGTTCTGATTTCTCCACATTTTTGCCAATACTTGCTATTATTTGACTTTTTTATTCTAGCCATGCTAGTGGGTATGAAGTGGTTTCTCATTCTGGTTTTGATTTGCATTTTCCTGATGGCCAATACTGCCAAGCATCTTTTTATATGATCTGTTTACTTTTTAATCTCATTTCAGTGAAATTTCTGAAGGGAAGAATGAGATAAACACATACCACAGTCTTCCTCAGAAGTATTTTCATTTATACATAAAATGAGGAAAATAAAGTGATTTTTCCCCCTCTGTTTTAGGCAGCACAACAAGCAATCAATCAGAACTGTCAAGATCTTGAACACTTGTTAAAGAAAATGATCTGGCCCTAATCGTTGATGGTGAAATATTGAAGTATGCCCTCAATTTTCCAATTAAGAAGAAGTTTCTAACTTTGGCCCTCTCATGTAGAACAGTATTATGTTGTAGGTAAGACTATATTTACCATTTTTTTCCTACTATACTTAATGCTGCTCATATAAAGAAAATATAGACATGGAAAAATAAGTTTTTGCAGAAACAAAGTTCTTTATTGGGAAAATATATGCTCAAACTGAAATGGATAGATCCATATTTAATTCTAACTGTCAGGTTTAAGATTAACTAGAAAGCAGTTTATAATTTTTCAATAGTAAATTATCAAAGCATGACAAAATGAAATAAGTCTTCAGAAAGAATAAAGACCCTTAGTGAGGGGAAAATCTGAAAAAAGTTCACTGATATGTAGAGAAAAATGAAGTTTTAAGTGCAAGCCAAAAAACTGATTTAAAAAATCATCTACAGCAAAGATGGCCAGAACTAAGAAAATAATGAAACTATGTACTCAACAATGTTGCCCTAAACATTTCTGTACCTAGTTTCTTTGTGATCATATATTCTCATTTCTTTTGGGCATATACTTAGGAGTGAACTTGCTGGGTCATATAGTAACTCTGTTTAATTAGAATCTATTGACCATTGAAATGAAAATATTAAATGAACCAATTACTAAAATATATTGATGCCTTGGACTTCTAAATATTATTATGGACATGCTCTTCAATCAATGAGGACCATTATATGCTTCAAATATCTCCCTTATATCAATGTCCCTCTGCATTCACATTCATATGGGATCTACTAAAACAGTTCAACATCTTCTGTTCTTCATTCCACTCTGACTTATCCAGCTTGAAGTATAGCCTTCAGGATTCTTTTTAACCCAATCTTCTATCAGAAATTGTGTTGCAAATGATAAAAACTGTGTTTCAAATGATGTAATTCCAATTCAGCTTAGGCAAAAAGAGAATTTATTGTTTCACATAGTTGAAAAGTCTGCAGGTAGAGTTGACTTCAAGGGAAGCACACAAGTTCATCAACAGTCAATTCACTAACATTACTGGTTTCTTCTAACTAGATTTAATTAACTGGTTTTTCTTTTGCATCATAAAAATATTTTGGGGAATATTTTTCATCACTCAAACTCCCTACTTATGCTGGTAGAAACCAGAGGAGGCAGTGAGAGAACACAATGAAGAAGCAAAAAGAGGGAGAAACACGGGCTGATTTTACCACTAAGGATTTTTCACCTTGCAGTGAACTATTGGTGGCTTGTCCAAAATTTGACTTCACTCACTCAATGTCTCCCAGTGAATTGGATTAATCTGGATGCAGCTTTAGCTCCAGGCTGGATCCCTTTTAGGTAGAAAGTTGGGGCTTGACCAACCCAAACCTTATGTCATCATAAGATTTTTCTCTCTCCCAGGAATCTCAACAAATGTGCCATCATGTCTCATTGGCTTTGAGAGTACCTGCTTGCTGTCAGTTAGGGGCCTAAAATGAAATGCAAGACAAAGGGGTTATTTACATGCTGGTGACAGTGAGTGAGCTGTTAGCACCTGTAGGTCCGAAGGGATCAGAGGAGAGGGTGGTGCCTGAATGTGAGAGGAGAGAGTCCTGCAGAGGAGCTGTCTGCAAGGGAACAAGGGTACAGTGGACAGACCCAGCAGCTGGAGAGGACATGCAGAGAGGAGCTCACTCTCCTCTCTCCAGCTGCTGTGATGGCTGCTCCTTGGACAAACTCAATCATCACCCAGATCTCAGTTATCTAGGTTTATATGATTCAAGGTCTTAGTTTCTCCACTTACTAACTCTATCCCTCTAAGTGTTTCCATTGGATGAACAGTGAACATAAAATAATACAAAATTGCAGTCTATTGTCTGAGCTATATTCTGTTTGTTTGTTTTTTGAGTTGGAGTCTCACTCCATCACCCAGGCTGGAGTGCAGTAGCATACTCACAGCCACCCCAGCGTGGTCTTACCGGGCTCTGGTGATCCTTCTGTCTCGACCTTTCAAGTAGCTGGAACTACAGGCACGTGCTACCACTCCTGGCTAATTTTTGATTTATTGTAGAGATGAGGTCTCGCCAAGTTTCCCGGGCTGGTCTCAAACCCGTGGGTTCAAGCAATCCACTCGCTTTAGTCTCCCAAAGTCCTGGGATCACAGGCTGAGCCACCGAAGAGCTATATTTTGAATAGAAGAAAACAATTTGTCATGGACTTGATTGAAACCTGTAACATAAAAGGGCCATGGTGGGGGTAAGTGTAGAAGAGCAGACTGAACCGCTAAAACATTCTTTATGGCTTTAAATGTATATTGCTTAGTTTTGTTATTGAAACCAGCCCAACTTCCTCATAGAGCTAATGATTATAGAGTTTTTTTGTTTTGTTTTGTTTTTTAATAAACATAGAAGTTGGCCATTCTGGCCTTAAAGTTTGTGACTTACATCTATTTTATCTGAGTTCCTTTTCTCAGGAAACCAACCCTCAATCTATAGCATCAAAGGACTAAAACTCACCAGATCATCATATCCAGACACTGAGATGCCAGACACCCACCTGTTTACCAACTTATCTTCCTTACCTCTCCCAAGTTCTTGTTTTCTACATTCCTTCCTCACTGTATAAACCCCAACTGTGGTAGGGTGGGAAGACAGATTTGAGACAATTTCCCATTCTCTCCTTTGCTGATACCACCCAATAAAAAGCCTTTTTCCTTGGCAATGTTTGTCATTTCAGTGATTGACTTTCTGTGCAGAGAGCAACAGGACCATGACCACACCTCTGGTGTTTCTATAACATTATTTTTATGTACATTCTACTACAATTTCATTAAGGATTTTTAGTTTATGATCATGAAGGATTTTTGTCTGTAGTTGTTGTTTTTCTTCATGTCTTTCACTGGCTCTGGTATCAGGATAATTCTTGCTTAATAAATGAGTTAGGAAGTATTCTTTTGTCCTCTGTTTTCTGGAATAAATACTTTCTGTAGTATTTGTATTATTTCTTCCAAAAGCGTTTCATGGAGTTCACTGTTGAAGCCATCTGGGTGTAGACTTTCCTTTGTAAAGTTTTTGATTAATAATTACATTTACCTAGCTGATATTTTCTATTTCTTTTTTAATCGGTTTTGATATTTATGTCTTTCAAGGAATCTGTCTAGTTTATCTACTTTTCAAATTTGTTACCATAAAGTTGTTCACAATATTCCTTTATTGTTGTTATTATTATTATTTTATTTCTGTGTGATCTGTAGTGATGTTCCTTCTTTCCTTATTCATATTGGTAATTTATATCTACTCTCCTTTTTCCCTGATCAATCTAGCTAGGGCCTTACAGATTTTGTCAATCTTTTGAAAGTATTAACTCTGTTGTTTCTCCAGTTTCTATTTATGTTCTGATATGTAAACTAAAAACAAAATCCTAAGCCCCTTACTGACTGAACAGACTCCCTTCTTGGACAAGGGAACCTCAGAGAAACCTTAAAAACTGAGTTCCCGACCATGATGGGAAGGGAAGTTGAACTTGCCCTGTTATGCCCTCTGCCTTTTAATGTTTAGGCCCCCAAACTGACCAGCATTAATGTTAAAATAGAGACTATTAGACTGAAAAATCAGACTCTTTATAGCAATAGGATGCCAAATTATAAACAAGACCTAAAGCCAGGCAAGCAAGAGTTAAGTTGCTCCTGGAGGCCATCAGTCTTGCTAAGCAAGTCATATTGTGGCTGGCTCAGACACAGCATCTTTATCTTAACTTAAATATTCCTTTCTGCTAACTCCAAATTTTGAGACAAAGTTTTGGGGTTTTTTTTTGTTTTTTTTTTTAACCAATTACAGATTAAAGAAACTCTAAATCTACTTGTGACTTGGAAGCCCCTGCTTCAAGATATTCCACCTTTGTGGGCTGAACCAATATATAACTTCCATGTATTGATTTATATCTTTGCCTGTAACTCTTGCCTCCCTAAAATGTATAAAACAAAACTGTTATCCACCCACCTCAGGTACATTTTCTCAGAACTCCATGAAACTATGCTTCCTTAGGCCATGCTCACTCATATTGATTCAGAATAAGCCCCTTTAAAATATTTTACAGAGTTTTTTTTTCTGTTAACAGATATATGATTGTAGGGGAGAATAATTTTACCCTACCTATCAGGATTTTTTTAGACTGAGCCTGAGAATTAAATTGAGAAAAGGCAGATCAATAGTTTTTAATAATCTCACCTAACTTAATTTAAAATTAGTTTTTAGTAACCATTTTATGGGAAAGGGAAGATAAGTGAAAAAATAAAAACTTTGTATGCCTCTTGTCATTTTTTGATAGAGGTGGGTGTCTCTCTTAGTGAGCGAATGAATAAATAGATGATAAATAAGAGACAAAATTTTTATTTCTCCTTCCTTTATATTTTTTGTATATTTCATGGGCAGATAAGGTCTGCTAGCCAGAAATTTTTCGGTATTATTTAAATTTGTTTTCATATCTTGTCTGAGGAAAAACGTATTAATAATATATCCTAATCAGCTTTGGACACAGCATGAGGAAGAAACACTTATTGTGCTTAGTCACTTAGCTTTTGCTTGTTTGTTGTTAATATTTTTGTGATCCTTGTTACCAAAATGTAATTGGGACTCTCCTGACTGGTATCTTCAAAATTTTTAAAAATCTCCTTGTTCAAGTTCCCTTGAGTATAGTTTGATTTTTCAAGGCTACTCTACATCCCACTCATTAAATAAATACTTTTATGTGGTTTCAGAAATAGTAGACCTTCACGTCTTCCTCTCACGTAGGTAGGTAATGTGAATTAATACAGCAGATCAGTGTGAGACAACAGAGAGTGGTGGGGAGATGGCAAACTGAGGAGTATATTAGCCTGTAAACTGGGCAACTGATATTATGATTTGAGATGTTGAAGAAGCTACTGTGTGGTTTGACTTTTGTTTTTTGAGTGTTTGTTTTTGGTGGGGGTGGGTGGGAACTTTTCTGTATACTTGGAAAGTTTGATTAAATAATTGGGAAATTCACCAGTAACTGCCATTTAAATGTGGCCACGTGCAGATTATTGACTTCTTCGTGAAGACTTTCAGAACAGTGTGAAGTAAAATGAAACAAAACAAAACACTAGACAGTGATTGCTTCTGTCCTCTTTATCAGGCTCTCTCCCATCCAGAAGGCTGAAATAGTGGACACTGTCAAAAGGCATGTAAATGCTACCACCTTCGCCATCAGGGACGGTGCCAATGACGTTGGAATGATCCAGATGGCCCACATAGGCATGGCAATCAGCGGGAACGAGGGCATACGGGCCACCAACAACTCGGATTACACCATCACACAGGTCAGTGGTGTAGGACACCAGTGGGGTGTGGAGGGTGCTGAAGACCTCTGATCCACCCCTGAGGTCTGCTTCACCTCTTTAAGCTGCTTCATGTGTGAAACAACCAGCACTTTTGCTTAAGCTTTAGCCTCACACAATTTGAAGCAGCAGAGATCTCCTTTGACCAACTATGGAGCTGGCAAACCACTGCCACCAAGAATCAATAACCCTGTTTATACAATCTCTAAATCTTCAGTTTCTCCAGTCTGCAGTATGTGCTTTTCTTTATGGTATCTCTTGGTGATGATTTCTTAAAGACGTATAATCTCTCCATTTTCTTTTCTTTCTTTTTATGGAGACACTGGTTCTAGGCAGGATTTTTTTAAAAAATAGGGTTTACTTTTTAAAGCAGTTTTAGGTTCACAGCAAAACTGAGCAGAAGGTACAGAGATTTTCCATACACCCTCTGCCTCACACATGCATAGCCCCTCCCGTGATCAACTTTCCCCGCCAGGGTGGTACCTTTGTTACAATTGTCAGAGTCAAATAAAGTATAGAGATGAGTCTCTCAAGTTAAAATGTTTATTTAGGAAGCAAGAATTGCAGTTTGGGACAGACACACAGACCAGGTGGTCATTAGTATGTCTGAAGACTAGAGACAGTTGAAGGTTTTATTTAAAAAACAGAAATGCTACATAACTGCTCTTTGAGCAAGTTCAGTGGCACTGGAAAAGTTTTGGGGAAGCTGCTGAGTTTTAATCCGTGAATGATGGCAATGGGTAAAACTATTCTTAGAGTCACAGCAGCCAGGCTCACAGAGAATGACATTCTTGGAGCAATGTCACGAGCCCTGAGTGCCTTCTCTCCTGGACCTCTCAGCTCTGTTTCAGTTGGGTATGGCAAGATGACCTGTTTTGTATAATCAACTTTCACACAATCGATGAACCTCCATCAACTCATCATAATCCCCCAAAGTCATAGTTTACATTGGGGTTCCTGTTTGGTGGTGTACTGTCAAAAGGCAACATTACAACAGTTCTCGTTTAAAGATTTTATTTGACTTTATTGTGATTCTAGAATTGGACACTTCATTTCAAAAAGTATAATAATTGTTCTAATGAGGTGAGTGAAGTGGTTTTATAGGCAGAAAGTAATGGAGAAAGCAGAAATGAAGAACAAAAGGCAGGTTGGTCGTTTCAAAGTTACTTTCCTTGTCAGGCAGGACGGAGACAGAACAGTAGAAAGATAAATGATTGGTTAACATCAGGTGATTTCAGGTTACTCTTTGCTGTAAGAACTAGATTTCATTATCATTCCAACCGAAGATGGAAACTATTTCCTGGTTGAGAAATTAGGCTGTTATGATTTCTCTCTATTATGAAATATCTCTCCTGATTTCTTGGGAGGACAGATAACAACTCAGTTTGGTTTGGTGAACACGAGTGACTCCATTTTGCTTTTTAGTCTGGTCTGATGGAGCCTAGTGGAGGAGTTTAGTCCAAAACAATGGTCTCCTATAACTTTTGTTTACCAGTTACCTTCTCTGGGTTTGGACAAATGTAGAATGACATGCATCCACCATTACAGTGTCATACAGAGGATTTTCACTGCCCTAAAAATTCTGTTCTCCATCTGTTCACTTCCATTTCATGCAACCCCTGGTCACCACTGATTTTTATACTGTTTCCATAGTTTTGACTTTTCTGAAATGTTATATAGTCGGAATCATGCGTTACCATAGCTTTTTGAAACTGACTTTTTAAATTTAATAATATAACATTTAAGCTTCCTCTATGGTGTTTCATGGCTTGATAGCTCATTTCTTTTTAGCACTGAATAATATTCCATTGCCTGGATTACCAGTGTGTTTATCCACTTACCTACTGAAGTACATCTTGGTTTCTTCTACGTTATAATGATTATAAAGAAAGTAGCTCTAACCATATGCAGATTTTTGCGTGGACATAAGTTTTCAATTTCTTTGGATAAATGCCAAGGAGCAGGATTGTTGGATTGTGTGCTAAGAGTATGTTTAATTTTATAACAAACATCTAAACTGTCTTCCAAAGAGGTTGTACCATTTTTTGGTAGGCATTTAAGAAGAGTGTGTACCCTGTGATTTATATAGCTCATGCATGTTTATGAAGGTGACCAATGACTGAATTACTGAGATCAGTGGCCATTATTTGGCACTAATGACTCTGAAGCTAGGAGCAAGGAAGTTTGCTCACCAGGACAATGTTTTCTTTGATTTACTCATTAAGTAGTGTCTCCTAAGCAATATGCCCCATAAAGCTCTCATTTTTCATCTTCCCCAGGCAGAATAACCACAGTCTTGTTAAAGGAAATTAATGTAGCTGTTTCTTTTTTTTAATCAATATTTTTTATTATGATTTTGTGGGGTACAATTAAGGGTTAGGTGTACAATTACGTTTCATTCAGGCACCCTGTTGATAAGAGGTGTTTCCCCATCCCTAGATGGATATTTGCTACTGTTAATACCATCCCCCCCCCATAGTTTCCCAGTACTGTCAGTAATTTTCTTATAGTATTACATTGGATGTTCAAGGTCCATTATATGAGTGAGAACATGTGATACTTGGATCTTTGTTTCTGTGAGAGGTCACTCAGTATTATAGACTCTAGTTCCATCCAGGTTGCTGCGAAATTCATGGTTTTGTTCTTTTTTATGGCTGCGTAGTATTCCATCGTGTATATGTACCACATTTTTAAATTCAGTCCTCTTTTGATGGGCAGCATGGTTGTTTCCAGGCTCTTGCTATTGTGAACAATGCTGTGATAAACATACGTGTGCAGGTATCTTTTTTATAGAGTGATTTGAGTTCTTCAGGGTATATTCCCAGTAGGGGGATTATGGGGTCATATGGGAGGTTGATATGTAGAGCTTTTAGGAATCGCCACACTGCTTTCCACAGAGGTTGCACTAGTTTACACTCCCACTAACAGTGTAGAAGTGTTCCCTTTTCACCATACCCTCTCCAACAGCTGTTATTTTTTGAGTTGTTGATATTTGCCATTCTGACTGGAGTTAGGTAGTATCTCAATGTGGTTTTGATTTGCATCTCCTTGATGATTCGTGAGGTTGAACATTTCTTCATGTGTTTGTTGGCTGCTCAGATGTCCTCTTTTATGAAGTGTCTGTTCATATCTTTTGCCCATTTTATAATGGGGTTTGTTTTTTTCTTTTCAGCACGTTTTAGTTCCTTGTAGACCCAGGATGTTAAGCCTTTGTCAGACCTGGTGTTGGCAAATATTTTTTCCCAGTCTGTAGGCTGTCTCCCTGCTCTCTTGATGGTTTCTTTGGCCTTGCAGAAGCTTGTCAGTTTAATAAGGTCCCACTTGTCTATCTTCTCTCTTATGACCTGTGGGTTTCAGGTTTTGTTCAGGAATTGGATGCCAGTTCCGATTTCCATGACGGTATTTCCTTCATTTTCTAAGGTTCTTATGGTTTGAGGTTTTACCTTTAGGTCTCTGATCCATTTGGAGTTAACCTTTGTGCATGGGGCTAGACAGGGGTCCTGTTTCAATCTTCTGCATGTGGTCAGCCAGTTTTCCCAGCACCATTTACTGAATAGATTCTCCTCTCCCCAGTGGTAGGTGGTGGAGACCTTGTCGAAGATGAGTTGGTTGAGAAATTGAGGTTTTGCTTCTGGAATCTCAATTCTATTCCATTGATCTATATGCCTGTTCCTATACCAATACCAAGTTGTTTTGATGATTGTAGCTTTATAGTAAAATTTGAAGTCTGGTAATGTGATACCATCTGCTATGTTTTTTTTTTGCTGAGAATTGTTCTGGCGATTCTTGGACGTTTGTGTTTCCATATGAATTCCTGTGCTGTCTTTTCTAGGTCTGAGAAGAATGTTGCTGGTAATTTGATGGATATTGCATTGAATCTGTAGATTGCCTTAGGTAAGATGGACATCTTCACAATGTTGATTCTTCCAATCCATGAGCATGGGATATTTTTCCACTTGTTTGTGTCATCTTTGATTTCTTTGAGCAGTGTTTTGTAGTTTTCATTGTAAAGGTCTTTCACGTCTCTTGTTAGGAAGATGCCAAGGTATTTCTTTTTTTTTGTGGCTATTGTGAATGGAATTGTGTTTTTTATTTGGGTTTCTGTTTGTTTATTATTGGTGTAGAGAAATGATATTGTCTTTTGTACATTTATTTTGTATCCGGAGACTTTGCCAAAGGCCTTTATCAGTGTAAGGAGGTTTTTGACAGATTCTCTTGGGTTTTCAAGGTACATAATCATATCATCTGCAAAGAGAGATAACTTGACTTCCTCTTTTCCTATTTGGATACCCCTGATTGCCTCCTCTTCTCTGATTGCTCGAGCCAGGACTTCCAATACTATGTTGAACAGGAGGGGTGAGAGTGAGCATCCTTGTCTTGTTCCAGTTTTCAGGGGAAAAGTTCCAATTTTTGTCCATTTAAGAGTATGCTGCATGTGGGTTTCTCATAGATGGCTTTTACTATTTTGAGGTATGTTCCCTGTATGCCTAGATGTTCAAGGGTTTTTATCAAGAAGGGGAGCTGGATTTTATCAAAAGCTTTTTCTGTATCTAATGATATAATCATGTGGTTTTTGTTTTGACATCTGTTGGTGTATTTAATTACATTTATGGTTTTACGAATGTTGAACCAGCCTTGCATCCCAGGAATGAAACCTACTTGGTCATGATGGATGATTTTTGAGATGTATTGCTGAATTCAGTTTGCTAGGATCTTGTTGAGAATTTTAGCATCTATGTTCATCAAAGATATTGGCCTGTAGTTGTCTTTCTTTGTTGGATCTTCACCTGGCTTGGGTCTCAATGTGATGTTGGCTTTGTAAAATGATTTGGGGAGAGTTTCATCTTTTTCAATCGCCTGGAATACCTTCAGTAGGATTAGTATCAGCTCCTCCTTAAATATCTTGTAGAATTCTGCTGGAAAGCCATCTGGACCAGGGTTTTTTTTGTAGGAAGTTTTCTTATTATGTAGTCGATTTCCTT